GTGCTATCTGCTGCTCCATGTTTTCTAAATGTTTCTTATGTTTTTATCTGAAACCTAATCAGCATGGAAGAACAAGTTATTAGTCGTGCACATCGGATGGGTGCTACTCGTCCCATTCATGTGGAAACTTTAGCAATGCGTGGTACAATTGAAGAGCAAATGTTGGAATTCTTACAGGTGCAGCTTCAACTTTGACTTGTTTGCTTAATATATTGGTAATAGTGCAATAGATAATTGGAAAATGAAGATCTCTTTATCTCTGAAAAATGCCAATTTGGGGATAAGGAGCCTATTGTACTTTTATGTAATTAGAGCACAATTAACTAACCATCTAAAAAATGCTGTTTCTTTGAATTTTATTTTGACTAACCCATTGGCATGCATGAATGGTAGTTTTCTTATTAAATTTCTAGATGAATAACTTGGTCTGTACCTTCTTTTTTGTTTCGAGGGGCACTTGCACTGGTTTACCTTGTACGGTGCATATCTTAATTTTCTTTTCGAGGATTATTGTCTAAGTCATATATCAATTTTATTGTCTTCAAATTGTAGCCTGAAAAGTAATCTATATACTTCATCACCTTCCAGGATGCTACTGACTGTAGAAAATTCTTGAGGGATGAGTATGGAAAACCTGAGCTTGAAGGGTCAAGAAACATTCGCACAATACATGATTTTGCTGAGAGCAATTATTTGGCTCGGCTTAGTTCTGTCCGGACAAATACCAAAGCATGAAGGTGTGTGCTTAATGATCATTTTGGCTTTTATTATTTTCAGCATTTTGGGTTTTGGTATGTTACTTGCATGTCAGAAACACTAAAGCAAATGAAATATTTTATTAAAACCTTTTCTCATATTAAACGTAAGAAAGAGCATCTTGCAATGAAAAATGAGATTTCCTTTTCCTCAGGGTATAGAAGGCGCAAGGGTACATTGTTTTCATTAGTGTTGGTTTGTCTATCTGTCAAGAACTACGGAGACTTTTGTTTTTGAAGATGTGAGAAATGAACGATTGCAGTGATCTAGCAGGTTCCACTGTACAAAATGTGATAGTGGATAGTGACTGCTACATGTAAAGACATGAAGCCTTGAATAAAGTTTTCAACCGTACAAATCAAAGTTCATGCATCATTTTCATTTATTTTAGTTGAAGTGAATGGCTCAGAAGTGGTACTGCAAGGAAGTCTACCAACCAATAAGGTTGCAATAACCATCTGGGTTTGGTGCTATCTTTGCATTTCGTGAAGCAACTAGGCATGACACTGTAGGTTGAAATTCTCTTGGAGGATCATGATGCTCGTGTCAATTGCTGTCAACTTGTTAGCATGTTAGTGCAGAAAATTTGGTCAGGGTAGTGCCATTCAATGAGCAGCTTTGTTGATAGTTACTTATGAGTAGCTTAGGTTATGTAGTAAAGTTCTGTCAGTTTCTCTTAATGTGCTGGGCACTTCTGTTCTTGGTTATGGGAGCTTACGGATTGTATTCTCTTGTGCCTAAACTTCTTGTGAATAACAGGAATGGTTTATCCTGGAATTTGAGTTCGTTAAACTCAGTAGATTGAAGGTTCTCTCTATCAAGCCCTTAGTGCTAGCAGTAAAAGCAGGTCATCCAGGAAGGAAATCATTGAATAAACGTTTTCTCTTAGATTTTCCTGTGAACTAACCCATAAATATTTCCCACACGAAGGATCTCAACAGATGCCTAATTGGTAGCCAACTTCTTTATAATAAAATTTAGTTATGCTGTTATTTCTTAGTAGGGCTTATATGTAACTTTATTATATGATGCACTTTATCTGCCACAAATTTTATGAAAGTAAATAAGTTAATTTCTCTACTTGCTATTGATATTTCATTTTTCTGCAGCTGTGTTGCAACTGTTTTGTTATACGTGGAGTTTTCACCTTCTTAGTGTTGTGATCTGTTGGTCGTGCTGCTTTTGATGATAGAAAGGATAACATCTTCTCAGTGACTCGCCACTTTTGTTTATTGACGATTTGGATCTTCTGATTATTCAAGTGATTTCTTTCTGTACAAAATTCAAATGATTTTTTTTTTTATTAGAAGAACGAAAGAGAAGGCAGAAGGAAAAGAAAAACAAGAGGTAGGCAGCAGGAAAGTGCTGCAACTCCATGTTATGAGACGTGGATTTTTTGTCGCAGTTGCATCCATGGGGACAAGAGCAAGAATTCTTATTCCCTGAGCCATTTTTTGAACCATTTGGAGAGAGCAAGATAAGAGGTATTTTTCGGTTCCAAATTTTTCATATTTTGTCTAACGATGATAATTGTCGTAAGGGAAAAAATCTTGATATTTTATCTCATTTCTTTTTGCACATTCATGGATTGCGCCCTCTTTAGTCCATAATACTTGTCCAAAAAATTACTCGTACGATTTTCTGTCAGATGCCTGACCTTTTTCCAGATTTCTTTATAAAATCATCCTTGATAGGATTGTTGCTCGCAAGTTTCTTTCTCTCTCTCTCTCTCTCATTTTTTTTTGTGTGAAATATTTGAACTGAGATTCCAAACTTCTTTCTTTCTATCCATGTTAACTTATATATATTCATAGGCTTGTATTCGTGATTCTTCATTTTGGTCAGTATTTTTTTTTGTTTTGCTCAAAGATGATACTTTCATGCTAAACTGTAAGTACCATTTGTTGATAGAGGTATCGTTATTTAATTCGGTTCCTTCATAGTTGTGCTGTCTTCTTTATCTTCTGTTTTCTGCAGGTAGGTTGGTTGCCTGGATTAATACATTAAAGTAATTCTGATCTTTTAAATACATTCCCAGCCAAAGATTTCCAAATTTATCAAACATTTCCAGCCAAAGGCTAATCCCTGTTATGATTATACTTAATTATTATATTATATTAGTGGTAATAACTTTTAAAATTTAAAATTAAAAAATATGCACGAATGTATGAATACTTTTCAAACTTAAGTACTGCAGGTTTAATGATCGATTAAAACTAATAGTTTAGTGAAAACTAAAATTAAAATATAAAATTTTGCGTGATCTATATTAAAAAATATTCGAGGTTCTCTTTCTCTACCTATCACTATAATTTAGTGAAGGATAAAAAAGAGCTGCTGTTTCAAAACTTAAAAACGTATTTGAAAAAAAAGGAGAAAAAAATAAAAGAACCACACACCTCTTATTCGCTATTTGGATCGTAAAAAATTTTAATATATAATATTTAAAAAAAATTATATTTGTTTTAATAATAGTAAATGATATTTGACTGATAAGTTTTAAAGTGAATTTTTAAACCACTAAATTAATGGTATTTAATGAGTATTCTATTTGTTTCCTATTACATTATCATCTAATTTAATCAATTTTATATATGTTCTAATAATTAAAATTTTATTAAATATAAAATTTTAATTTAATTATATATAATTATTATTTATTTAAATATAAATATAATTATATTAATAAATAATTTTTTTTTACATATTTTTTTTATAACATTTACTATTATATATAATATATAAAAATAAAATAATAATTTAACTAAAAATATAATTATAACATACTATCATTCAAATAAAAATATGCCATTAACATACATTAATATACTATTATCCAAACATAAAAAAATTTTATCATTACAATTTTATATTATTACTATTCAATTACGGTTACTATTATAATTATATATTAATTAATCATCATTAAAATTTATCTAAATAAAAACCTTAGTTAAGCCCGGTCAAATCACCAACAAATTGCCAGGTTACTTGTGCTGCTTGTTTTGTTTTTCTTTTTCCAAATCAAATTTATAAATAAATCATGTTGAAGGATATATTATCTTAAAAAATGTATCTCAGTGAGTTTATTGCTTATTTCAGCTGTTTAGTTTATAAAATCTTTTTGTTTAATAACATTAAATATATTCTCGTCAAATACTTGTGTTTGTTTGGTTTAGTAATTTAGTTTTCGATTTTATTTCGGGAAGGATTTTTTATGACATATTTAAAAGTACAAGTAAATACTTAAAAAACGCGAATTCTTATGATAAAAACTTAAAACGGAATACTGAAGAATATAGAAATATAGATCCAACTTTTAGGAATATATATATATGTATTTCTTCCACCACAAATTAAAGTTGTCATTTTTCAAAATAACTTTACTTAAATTAGTCAAAATCAGATTCAAAACCAAGTAAAAATGGTGTATGGAGTTCTAATTTTGGCTCAAACTAAAGCCAAGCTAAAATAAACATTTTTTAATCCTTTGATGGGAAAACCAGAAACAAGACGAAATAATGTTTGACCCAGTTTTATCGAGACTAAAATTTAAAATCTCTACTTGTTTTCATACCCCTTAAAAAATAATTTTCCAAACAACTTTGGTAAGAAAGCTAAATTTACATTTTTTAAAAAAAAAAAATGTAATGAACTCCTTATTCTTGTTTTGCTTTTTTTTTTTTTTTTTTTTTTTGGGTTTAAACAACTTCTGTCTTACATCCATCATAAACTTCTTTTTCTTAAAAAGGAAAACAAATCTCTTCATTTTTTTTCAAATTTTAACAAAAGAAAACTTAAGAATATCAATAAAAGATCAGAGATTTATATGACATTTCATATGACATGAAATTACTCTTATAAGTTAGGAACTTGACATGAAATTACTCTTATAAGTTAGGAACTTTACCTCGAACTTAGATTGTGGTTGGAGGGGGAGCTGATATGCATCGGCTCTGTGGATGTTTAGATGCAGCCTTCTCCTGGAATATATCTTCCCTTGTGGAATTTACAAGCAATTAAGAATCCAGAACTACAAATTCTACTTACAAAGAATTCACTCATCACCCCCTTCACATTTTCTCCCTTCCACGGAGAATACATTCACAATTCAGAACATACGGGGAGCCGAAGATTGAGGCACTAAAAAAATGCACCCCAGCTCTTTCTACAAACAAAACCTGAGAGGGTTCAATTCTTTGCTTCTCTATACTCTTTTAACCTGAAATTTTTCCTGAAATTTTTTTACCACTAAACTTCAGATTAGCATAGTCAGTGAGCTAATCCCTCCTTTCCTATCCCCAAACTTGGCTTCTCCAACATTGGAACATTGTACTGCTGATATACCCTAGCTCGGTTAGCTGCCCACCACTGCTCCGCTTGTTTCTCACTAAACCGTTTTCGACTGCAGTGTCAGAAACAGCATATAAAAAGTTAACATCATTGGCATTTTTACTATTTTTGTTCAAATAAGTCTGTAACTTTTTTATTTTTATTTTTTGGTTTTTGTTTTTGTTCAACTGCACCTCTGAAGTTCTTAATTTTGTGTAAGTAGACTCCTCTCTTAACAGAAACCTAAACTGCTATTTTGTCTATATGTCACATGGCAAGTGACGTGGCCATATCACCCAGACAAAATTGGCTTGCTGCGTGTGGAGCATCCAAGTGCATGCCAAAGTCTGCAACATATAAACACACAAACAGATCTGCTCATCCAAGTGATGTGGCCGTTTTGGGGTTTTTTTTCTTTTTTCTGTACTGTAGATCTTACCAGCATAATCAATATCCACCAATAAACAAGGAGTTCATTGGTCGATGCTTCAACTAAACAGGAAGGTTAGAACAAAGATTTTTCTATTAAAAAAAGAATTTATATACAAAGATTGAGCAATCATCTTCACTGTCAAGTTCTGTTGCTCATAGTAAAGAGAGAAGAAGAAAGTGAGTGCTGGAGCAAATGAAGCATCAAATACCAGAGCTAATGGTCCATATTTTCTACACTGTTGAAGAGGCAGAGGATGAACTCCCTACACATACTAGCAGGTGGGCAGCAGAAGCAATAATTGAAAAACACGGATTAAATAAAATAACAACTCAAGCTCAAAGGTTCCAGGTCCTTTTTTCCATTCATCTGGACTGTGAATCTGAAGAGGAGTTTCCTAAAGAAGCTTCAACCATCACTACTCGTCCACATACTGGATTTTCTCTAAGGACAGAAGCCTCTCCTAGAAACTGTGAGAGTTCTCAAAGACCACTA